GGGGGGGGGGAGCAGAAAGAGAAAGACAGGGAGAGATAGAGAGAGACAAACAGAGACAGAGAGGCAGAGAGAGAGAGAGGGAGAGAGAGAGGCAAGCAGAAAGACAGGCAGACATAAGAGGGAAGGAACGAAAGGGGTACGTGGGCGTGTCAGCGGAATAAAGGAAATAAATGGTTGCCAAAATGCTGTCGCTTGTTGTGGGAGAGCCTTGCCCTCCTTCCATTCCGATTGTTCCGCCTGGACGATATTCCGCGAAATGTAAGCCAACACAGTAGAGATTCTCTAAACTGTGTTTTAAGTACACACATCCACACAAACGGGAGGGATTAACCTTGCAATCGCCCTGCGCCTTTCGTGGCTCACCCTACACTCCTCTTTTTGCTGTTTCCATCGGACTTGCGGTTCCTCACCGACTGTCGTTGTTGTTCTTGTTGTCGCCGTTACGGTCTTCACTTCCCAACCCTTGTTGCTTTCAAATTGATTGTCGTTGCTGTTGTCGTTACCGTATTCACACTCTTACATCAAGCACCGGCACAACTGACGCGGACGGCATTTTCCGTTCGCGTCACAGGCCAACTACCGCAAGGTTGCGAATCAACGCACAGGGGTGCGATCGATTTTCAAAGCATAAAATGTATCCACAACCAGAGGAGGGTGCGAGCGCCAACTGATACTTCTCAGGAAAGCTCTCGATGATATATTTCCAAAACCACCCTTTTCGACAGTGGTAACCTCCTCGTTGTGGAGAAATTACGCTTTGAAAATCGATCACACCCCTGTGCTCTGACTTGCAACCTTACGGTACACTGCTAGGGTACAACCTCAATGTGGTTCCTGAATGGGAAGGTTTGAGCCTGCATTTTCTTCACATTTTCTTCAGAGTCCGGTAGAGAGCCCGACACCGCCTCTTCTGCCACCACGGTAAGGGCAGATCCCATATTCCAGCCAAGCAACTTCACGGTCTGCAGCTGTGCATGCACACCGTCAACATCCAACATGCGGGGGGTTGCCCCCAGAGAGATGAAAACGGATGCATGGAGTGGAGTCACGTCTTGAGAAACTGGATGCTTGTACCTAGATGATTCGGAGTATTTTGTTTCTGGTTGAGTATATTCTCATGCTTCAGGCTTGGGGACGAAAAGTGCGTGTGTTTTCTTGTTTTTGTTTTTTGACGCATTATGCCGGTCTTCCTTTCCTGCCTTCCCCGCAGAACCCGTACACAGTCATATCTCGTGTGCGTACCGAGTAAAGAGTACCGTAAAAGATGCGAGAGATGATGACACCCCCCTTTTACGTGGACCGAAACGCAAAGCTCGACTATTCCACAACCAAGCTTAAGCCAAAACCAAACACGGTGGTTTTGATAATATCTCGTCGGAGCTTTCCGTAGGCGTATCGGGCTCTGTCTGCATGCACTTGGTTGCGGAGCAATCGAGCTTGGGAGCTTGAAAGTCGGTCTTGATGAGGTTGCCATCTTTCGCATCCTTAGGGTAAAACTCTGGTGGAATGACCCTTATACGTGTAACAGTGCGAGGAAAGTAACAGAACGCGCCACTCAATATTTTGGCCGAGGCGCGTTTCTTGGAAAATATGTTTGAGATTCAACCACAGTCGAGGGGCATGCTCAAGTATCTTCAGAGGATTTTTTTACATTGTGCATGGGGTATGTCCACGGACGAATTCTGACAGCACTTCAGGCAGCAGCTGCGTGCCCCGAGCTTTTACCATGCCTACCATGGCGTGAAATGTACAGACAGCACTCCAGACAGCGGTACGCTGTAGTCGACAAACAATCATTTTCGTGAAGTGTGGGACAGGGGGGAGATGATGCTGCTGTATTCTAATGTAGTGAGTGGGCGTGTAGTTCAGTCTTGGGCGCGCAAACGTGCTGCAGAAATTGCAGGTGTACCTCCTCGGGCTTGCGTACCCTTTCCTTGCTAATAGTGTGTGTGTTCTTTAGATCTTCTGATGGCTCTAGCATTTTTGTGACCACGGACTCGAGCTGTTGCTAGACTCTGGGGATTAGCAACTGACGCGAAGACAACAACAACAATAATGGGATTTAGTAGCCACAAGTCGATTGTGTAAGTGTTGGTGTGAATAGGTTTAGTGTAGGCGTCCCGACTGAGCAGAAAGGATTATCGCCGACTTTTGATCATATTTAGGATTTTGCGTGGCTCAAGTTTATATTAGACTGCGCAGTGTTGGCGCGTTCAGCATGGTCGACATTCATTACAGGTCTGCCGGAATAGCAGCTACACTGTATGCACATGTTGAGGTAAGGGGCAAAGGTGGCGCCTCGCTACTTTGGGGTGTGGCAGCTGTAGATCCCTGCCGGCTAGATGGGGCCGCGAACCTTTTTCGCCTCTGGCGAGAAGATGCGGGCCTAGTTTCTGGGCTGTGCATACGCATATGTTACATGTTTTCCAAAAAAAAAATGCCGCGGCACGGATTCGTTTACAAGCCTGGTGGCCACTTGTACAGACGGCTTCTCATGCTCGCCAAACAGGGAAGTCGCTACATCTAAACCGGGTCCTTCGCTGTACGTGGCGTACATCGAAGGTATTTTTGTCTCGTCAAATGATCTTGGTCTCATCTCAATCTACTGCTGCTGCTATTTGAACGTTTGAGGCGCTGAAGCTGAAGTCTTCACGGTGAGTAGGCTGTCGCAAATGCCAGGTGGTACAGTAGGGCAACGTGCAAAGAAGGAACAGAAAATCACACCCGTGGCAAGAAAGCAGCAGTTGCGTTCCCACCGTTGGATCGGTTGACAGATTTCGGTGTTGACTGCGAACGCACGATCGTGAAAGCATATCGCTACTGCTGCTACTCCCAGAGTTTACGTTGGTGTGAACAAAAGAACACTCGTGCCTTTCGCCGCTGACGTCGTTGTTCGACCACCACTAGGCGTTGCCCGTTTCATTTTAGATACATCCGCGGCGCACACCTAACATGTATGTGTAGCTGTCACACCGAAAGGAAAAGCACCCCGCGTTTGGTGTGCCCTGCTGATGATGTGCTCTGACACGACTCGACAACAAAAACGAGAAAACTTAAATTCGCGCGTGGTGCGAATGCTCCAGCGGGAGCGGTACGCGTGGCATCATGAGGCAAAACCAGGGGTCAGAGGGCGGCCCTGCGTGAGCGAATGGGGCAGCAGTAAGATGTACGGGAGCGTGGGCGTGGGGATATGTGGGTTGTAGACCCGGCGTGGGCAGCACGTGCGGCATGCGGTGGGAGCCCACGTACACACCCATCCGGACTGATCCATCGAGAAGCTTTGCATGCATTTTTCGTTGCCCCCCCAACAACCAAATAATTGAGGGGAGGGTACCAGGCACGACCGCGGTAGCTTCAAAAGCCTGCCCTCGACTACTGCTGTGGGTTTTCTCTCTATCCTCTGTGACACAGGAGCACGCGTGCCACAGCTGGGTGTTTAGGGCCTCCGAGTCAGGTCGCGAAATTGAATCTTGCACTCATTTTGGTCGCCAAGGTCGCCATGTGTTGAACTCTCCTCCAAACTCCACGTACATCGACAGGCACCCAAAGAGCAACACCAAGCAGATCGGTACCTTCAGTGAGAGTGGACCTGGCGGAAGAGGAGCGTGGCGGGAGCAGTGATCCAGCAGAACTTCTGCAGCGCCTAGAGGAGATGGGCGCTAGATGTAAAGTTTCGGGAGACTGGGCGGCGGAGCACACGACGCGAAAAAATGCGGCGGAACTAGACTGTGATCATGTTGAAGTTACGCATTAGAGTGTAGGAAGTGGTGACGTTGTCTCAATATCTATCTACACAAGATTTATTTCTCCCCCTTGTGCTGCTGTGATACGCCTGCTCGAAGCGGCTGCGAGGAAAGCTAACAGCGGCCGTCCATGTGGCACACATCATTGATCTGCAGAATATATGTTTGTGTGCCGAAAACTGGACACGTACACACAAGACAGATGGACAGCCCTGTCTGCACGAAAACCAAACGGAAACACACCTGGAACACTACAATTTGTCTAGAGAATGCACATAATTAATACGGACGCCAGGACCGGTGGACTGGGCTGCTGGTCCTCCAAGACGAGGAATTTCGAACAATTTAATCCACTGGAGAGCTGCACCCAAGAGGTGCTGCTTTCAGAAACACACACAGCTACTCCAACTCGCAACTTGATCGATCGTGTTGTGTTTTGTCGTCTCTCTCAATCATCGCGTTCAAAGTCTAGTCTACTTGTACCGCCGTAGCATGAAGTTGGTAGCATCCAAAATATCTTTCGGTTTACTACAGCAGTTGTTGTGTACAGCGGTACATGTATCACTTTCACGTATGCATGTCAGGCGAGGCCACACTCGATCGTGAACATTTTCGGTCATCATGTCGGCGACCAACCGGGTGGTACAACAACACAGCCAGCCGTTGGGCTGTGCAAACGCATATGCATACTACAGAGCATAGACTACAGCGCGTACGTTTTGATTGCCATTTTTTTCGATGGCGTTTCGCTTGCCATGCCGCAAGAATGCACGTCCAAAGTAAGGCTTACACGAGGCCAAAAGCGAAGGTTGGCAGGTACTACAGCGAGGTTTCTCCAACCCTACGTATTTCAAAGAGGGTGGTAGGGACGTGCATGTGTGTGAGCGGAACTGGGTAGAGAGGTCAAACGCGGTTTTTACATTATGATGAACGTGATGATCAAACGCATCGAGCAACCGACAATCACAATGTGAGAAGACAACCGCTGATTTTTCCACGATGCCACTTTTGAGAACTCGTTCCCAAACCGCCCAGCATTTGCGGCAGAGGGGCGAAAGTGTGCGAATGGATCGCTCTCCAGCTCAGCCAGGTGCAGAATGCTCACCAAATCATCATCACTTCACCAACTGCACCATTCTCAGCAGTCAGGCTGCGTTCTCGTTCACGCTTGTTTTGTCTATCTTCGGCAAGCTCCCGCGACATCCAACCCTAACCTTAAGTACGACATGACCACCCGCCCCTGAAATCTTGCCCGCAAGAGAAACATGCTGGAGCCATGAAGCCGTCGTGCAGACGGCGACCGTCCCTAGAAAGAGCGACTTCTCCACACCCCGACCATGCAACGTGCCACTTTCAGACAAAGAGCTTAGCCTACGCACGCAGCCACCACCTATTCCAAGAATCACTCATCGTAGTTAGGTTCGTTCCCATATTTTGCCACCACCAGAAAATTCAGGCATAAATTCATCTCCCATGCAAACCTTCTGCGTGTACGAGGAATCCCGCCGGTGAGCCCACTACTGGAGCGGCTCTTACCTCGAGAAATCCTACAGCACTTTCGGATATGGAGGGCAAACAAAAAAAATGCAACGTGACTTTGTGTGGTCCGACACGGTGCTCCACCAAACGTTTCTTCATTGTGGGCACGCCACAAAAGCGAAACCCGGGCATTCCTCGCTACGAAAAGCAGAAGGGCTAGAACAAGTGACCGAAACAAAAATTGTGTTCCCAGCTTTATATCTTAAAAAAAATAGAACGGAAAAATGCAAGGCTACATGGTGTACTTCCTTCTTGGGCCGACAGAAGCATCCAACCAGGCCGCGTCTGCTGCATTTCCCCCGTCCTCTAACCTACATACAACTCCCACGAAAACGCAAATAGCCTAACTATGTGAGCTCTTGCTGATCGGTGACTTCTACACCTCCACCAGCCCCCATTAAGCTCCTTCGTCACAACAACATCAACCACCGATAAAAGATGCATAGAAAGAGAGAGAGATCACCCCGAAGTCCGATCCCCGAACCCTGTACGTACACTGGTGGGTCCAGGCGACCCTTTCGGTTAGCGACACGCCTTGCGTAGCGATGAACATGTTCCCTTCTAATACAAAGATGGTCTGCTGCCGCATTCTAGTTTTCTTCCCAAGATCGCCCTCGTTGGGTCTATAGACAACCACACAAAAGTCAAATGTTTGTAGTTAGCAACGTTGAGGAGGAGGAGACTCGCGGCCAGGAAGAACAAAACACCCCCACCACCATCCAGGCCAGCGTGATGGAGCCAAAGAGACAACCGGTTAGTTGACGCCGTTGAGGATGAGCCCGGTGGCGAGGAGGAACATCCCCAGGATCCAGGCCAGAGTGATGATCACAACGGGGTCCTTCACCTTTTCCGTCGCTGGGGCGTTGTCCAGCTCGCTCTGCAGACGCCGAACACCGCCGAGGGGGGGGGGGGGGGGAGGCGGTATGTGACATCGGGACTAGGGAAAGTGGGCGCAAGGCAGGGCGGAGTTTTCTGACTACCGATGTACGCTTCTTTCGTGTTCGATACCGTCGGGGTTCCTGAACGAGGGATCATCGTGGTGCCGAGGAATTTGGCCGGCCGCATGCCGGGCACCCGTCGCTGCCCAAGAGATGAGACCACTTGAATCGCTCTTATCTTGTGTCACGCCGGGACCACTATTTTGCTGCTGTATAAACATTCGTTTTGAAAGGCTGAGGGCAAACCAGTCAGGTTCTTCGTTCGCCGGCAAAGCGTGCAAGCTAAAAATCACGTGGCCGCAAAAAAAAAAAAAAATTACGTGTGCGTTTGTCCGCATGATGGTAGAGCAGGGAGAAACATGTTGCGGTAAATAACCGAAGAGGGTTGCCGTACAAGAAAGGTGCACGAAAGATCGTAATGCACGAAAGATCGTTTGTGGGCGGGTCTCGAAATGTCGACATCCGAACGCCGGACCTGACGTAGGTGACGCTAGATACCAACCACCGGAGAATACTCAAAAGCTCGACAATAATACTCCGCCAAGAAGAGGACGTCAATCCAAAATCGACGTGATCTCGGAAAGGCCTCCACGAGATGGTTCCAACGACTCCGTTTTCGAAACCATCTGCTGCGGAGCAATCGAGCTTCGAAAATCTGTCGATTTGGGGGCGTGGTATCTTCCATCACCTACGGTACCTGGCAACTATATTTTGAACGGTGGAGACCGTAACAAGCGTGGCAATCAAGGGAGAAAACCTTGGCAACTCATCCGCCCGCCCCCGCCCCCCCCCCCCCGTATCCGGGTGATGCCGCTTACGTTGAAGAACGCCTTATCCTGCTCTTCTTCGTAGGACGGCATGGTTCCCTTCTCGATTGGCCCGCCTCCTTCTCCTGCAAACNGGGGGGGGGGGGGGGGGGGGGGGGGGGGGGGGGGGGGGGGGGGGGGGGGGGGGGGGGGGGGGGGGGGGGGGGGGGGGGGGGGGGGGGGGGGGGAGGGGGGTTATGACGTTCGTCCATGAAGTGCAGGTTCGATTGCCACGGTGCACACGGAAGCGGAATTCAGGCCAACAGACTAGTCAGCGGAACCCAACACAAACGCCTTACTATGGGGGGGGTGCTATACAACGTGCGTTTTGTCTTCGTGTGTGCGGGCGTGTGTATCATAGAAAGTTCCGAAATCAACCGCTTAGACTGGTCCGCGGCACCCTATACTAACGTGTTTCTAGATGGGTGTCATACAACCTCGTGTCTTAGTGCGTGCATGTTGAGGAGGACCGCCTACGCAGGATCTTATGAGTATCTAGAAAAAAGAATAGGGACGGGGCACGCAGACCCTATCCCCGACCCTAACTCTATAACCCCAAAGCACGGATTGAATGATGTATCTCATATGTTTGCTTAATCAATTTTGCTGCGTAGACTACTGGTTAAGGAACCGCAATCAACACGTTAGACTGGTCAGCGGAACCGTGTCATGGACGAAATTTGATTGGAGCCGAAATCAAAACCACTAGTCTAAGGATGACAAGGCGAAGTGTGACTAGGCCTCACTCATTGTAGAGTGCAAATAATCTCCACTCGAAATGCAACCGCTTATCAGCCTACACGCCGAGAACGTACCGTATACGACACAAGATAACACACCCCCTGGACCGATCTTCAAAGCTCGATTATGCGACAACGAAGAGGATGCATAAACGAAACGATACATTTTCGAAAAGCTCTCGACGAGACGGTTTCAACGCCGTCGTTTTCTACGATGTGACTGTTCCTGCAATTGAAAAATCGAGCTTCGAAAAATGGTCAAGGGGGTGTGTTATCTTATGTCATACACGGTACAGCAGCAACTGCGCGCAAACCGCACCAGCGGTTGATAGTCTTACTTCAGAAAACATGCATAGAAACGCAGAAAGACTACCCGTTCGAAAATATTGACAATCGAAGGGGATGATGTGTAGCTGCCAACTTCATAACAGTGGGCGCCAACCAACTGCATTCGTTTCGACTTGAGGGCTTCGAGCTTAATAGGTTGCCGGTTTCGTTTGAAGCCCTCGTACAAAAAAACAGCGACATGCCAAAACGGAGCGACCGTTTCCCGTTGATCTGGCCGGAAAAAGGATGTTCGACAACCAATCGAGGTCGCAGACCTGACGGCCAAATACGATACACACTTCACAAAACATAAAAGGAGATACGTATAGAAAAAAAGCGACAAAAAAATTCCCACCGAACTGCATGCTGAACCGTTGTTGTCTCCTCTTGTGCGCGGAGGCTCTGGGCGCTGCTCCCCCTGCTGCTGTCGCCGCCACCGGTCGTGCGGTGAACGAGGACGATGCCCGCGGGGACGTGGACACTCCCGAGCAGCGCGATGCCGTCGGCAATCCCCTGGGAGCAACCTGCCAGCAATAATATTAAAAAAAACGTGTTGCTGTCACATACATACGCAATGTGCGTATCTTGGCAGAATCAGAGAACAATCCTTTGAAGACCCCTTACGAACAAAACAATGTCCCTTGTCCCTACATCGTTCGTGAGAGATCCCCTCGGAGCAACCTGCCGGCAAAACAAAATAAAGTGCTGTTGCTGTCACATGTCGCAGAATAAGAGACAGCTTCCCGAAGGGCCTTCTTGACACGTTTGTCGTGGAGACAGCACAGAAAAACTTGGTCCTCAGTTGAGCCTCTGTAAACCCAACGTCTAAGAACTTGAGCACCATATTTGTGAACCTGGTCAAGAACTAAAACCAATATAGCGGCAGCGCCCGCACAGGAAAACTTGGTCCTTGCTTGAGCCTCGAAAAACCCAACGTCAAAGAACTTGAGCACCATTTTTGTGAACCCGGTTAAGAAACCCTTCGCTAAAACCTTTAGAGCGGCCGTTCATACCGTGACCCTGGGAATAGGGTAAGAACTCCAGCCTGGGCCAAAACTATAACAGAGGTTCTCCAGTGTTGGCGCCTTTTTGCTGTAACAGACATTTGGTGGTCGGGTTTAGGCCGTTACGGATTGGAACGAGATCGAGCGCTGGACAGCAGTAGTGCGGACGCCCGGTTGACCGCACTTTCGAAGCGCTGCGTGCGTGTACTGTGGAAACTTAAGCCAAACGACCTTTTCACAAATTTAGCATGGGTTAAACCCAAAATAGGCTGTAGACCTGTGCAACGCTTTCGACAACAAGGCAACCGCAGTAGGTTCGCATGATCGCGGCATGTTCGCATGTCAAACCTGCAAATAGCTTCTTCGGTCCAAGCTGTGTTTGTTCGAATGATTGCCGTGACTGTTGTGTTGTTGAAACTGTACCTATTCGAGTATCGCTCCGCCAAGAGCGATGTGTAGACCAGAGAGGGATAGAGCCCCCCCCCCCCCGTTTCCTTCCCCCCAAACACACACAGCGAGCCTCCTTGGTCGAAATCACCGAGCAGAGATTTAAGGGTGTGTGAAGAACGGGCCACGACTTCAGAAATTACTACTCGAAGGTTCGCTTTTCCACGAAATAGCCGTACACCGTACAAAGGCGGAGCGATGGCACCCCCCTAAACCGATTTTCAAAGCTCGATGGCTCCACCATAACCGAGATTGTACCAACACCACACAGGGTGGTTTTGGAAACATCTCGTCGAAGGCTTTCCGTAGACGATTCGGGCTCTCTCCGCACCCACTTGATCGTGGGGCATTCGAGCTTTGGAAGCCGGTCTCACGGGGGGTTGCTGCCATCTTTCGCATCCTTGCGGCAGCACACTCGGACAGTGCAGTAAGGTTCTTGTTTGTGTTTTTTGTTATTATTCAAAACACAACAGATTCATCTCTATCCTAGAAAGGGGCTGGAATAAATTGGTCATGAACTCTAGCGTTAGCGTGGTGCTGCCTTTGGTTTCTACAGTGTTGCGGGGGGTCTGGCAAGACGCCCCCGTTCAACAGGTGACATACGATACGCACCACGCACCCCCGGACCGATGTATGAAAAGCTCGATCACTCCATGACAAAGAGGAATCCGCAATAAACTGCATGATTGCACGCGCTCGGAAAGATTTCGGCAAGACGTTTTCAACGCCGCCATTTCCGGCATTACCACTCTTTCTGCTGTGTGGAGCAACAATCTTTGAAAATCCGTACAAACGAGGCGTGGTATCTCACGTCACCCGCTGCAATATTGTATTGACGGCAACAAGGCGAGTATACGCAAGTCAATCAACACAATTCCAGCATGATTTCCGGTGTAGCCAATCTCAAAAATAGGAAGGCACACAACACACAGAAATAGTTCGAGATCTAACCACAGTGGAAGGATGCGTTCAAGTCCCTACAACAGCAGTCGGTGAATCTCGGCTGAGCTTGGATGTGTAGCAGTACTTCGTTTATTATGAGTCTACTAAAATTCATTGCTGCTGCTATCCAAAGGCTGTAATGGTCATCCCGCGGCCACCTACCAAGGCCCCACCCAGGCAAGCACACCCGAGTGCACACCACAAGGAGGACAGGGAAGGGGGGGGGGAGCGGGGGGCGTTGACCCTTGCTGTATCCCACTTGCTACACTGCTGCTGCTGTTGTTAGAGGGCGAAGAGGCACATACGTGGTGTCAACAACGTCACCGCCCGCTCTCTCTTAACTCTGAGACAAACAGCAGCTTAGGAACATGTTTATTTCCGCAAAAGGAGGCCGCGTTGACGACAAAGAAACACTCACCTGGAATCCAAGCACCGAACCCAGCATCGCCACAACGGCCAGGAAAACGAGGGAGTACTGCATGTTGGTGTTGCTGGCTTGCTCTCTGGAAAGACCGAGCGTGAGGGCAAAGACGGTGGGGGATGTTTGCTACCAGAAGCCAAATAGCGGGCGCGTTGGGCGCTGCGGCATTTTCTTCATGCATGATCCAAACGCTGGCCGGCAAGACAGAGGCTAGCGTCTTGTACACTCTCCTTTAAACAAGCGAAGCCACACGCATACCTGAAGGACGAATGCGCGCGAAAGTTGTGGGATGGCAGCACAGGACTCGCAATCTCGGTATATTGCCTCGACCCCATCTCGGATCATCGTCCTGGCGCCATTATTTTATTTTGTTTATTTTCTCATGGAAAATGAACGCACATGCTGGAGGGGTTTGCAATCCAACAGTCCCGCAAGCACCCCCTTTGTCCAAAGAGCGCAGATCTGCGTAGGGTTGGCACAGCCCAACAGGAGTGGGCAAGAAAAGGGAGCCAGAGCAACGAAGTCTTGCTTCTCCTGAGGTATGCTTGGTTTTTTCTCTGCTGCGGATGTATTCCTCCCGGAGCTACGTGTACATAAAAAAAAGCTTGACTCCAGCAGTTGTGCTGCTGCTGCTGCTCTGGTGCTGTGTTCAAATTTCCCAGAGCAACCATAAATTCAGCGCGCACCGCAGGAGGAAGGTGGGGCATGAAAAGAAACAAAAATAAGAATAAAGCCCTGGTGTTTACCCCCTCCTGTGTGACCCTGGATGGTTGTAGTTGTACGAAAAAATACACATACGCTGAGAAGTGTATTACACGTCTCACCACGAAAAATGGCGGGAATATAGGACGAAAGCACACATTGCTCGCTGCCATAATACACGTGACCCCCCAGCTTGGCTCCCTCTGTTTCTCCCGTTTCCCAGCAGAGAACCCGTGCCCGCCGTTCTAACCGCCGTCCTGCGGTGCCCAGAGAGCTGGCTGTGTGCGGTCCCCCGTATGACCAAGCTCACACTAGTCTATACTTCAGCGAGCCATGGGCTCGAAAATTCCGCTGCTTGGAACATCGCAGTTTCGCTCGTGTTTCCCGCCCGTCTCCTGCAATAGTCTAGACAAGATATGCGTGTCGCATGCAATGTATAAACGAATACTCCGTTTGTACCAATGGTGTATCCTCTCGTTTCTATCTCTCTCTCTCTCTCTCTCTCTCTCTCTCTCCCTCGAAATCCTGTGTACGACCCCAAGCCGTGAACGAATTCCATACTGCGGTGGTGCCTCTCACTCCTGAAGATGGATTGTGTAAACCACCAATCCACCAATACCAAGAGTGGTGATCGTCCCGGCATTCCGTCGGTCACCACCGCTGCTGCGGATTCGCTTGTGCAGCCCTTACGAAAGGGTATGTGACTGCTCTACGTTTGAGCAGCCATCCTACGTGCGGCGGGCGCCCCCAGCTGGAAAGTAGATACCTACGCCACATGAGAGCTGCTATGGCTCCAACCTGAACACCTTTCCTGGCGTAGAGAGCTTCGGGGGTTGTTCTCTTATACTACACGGCACAAGACCTTCAGTTGTGGTAGAACAAGATTGCGAAAGTAGATACTGCTAACACTCTCTTTCTCGCTTGGAGAGCTGCGGGAGGTTGTCTCCCTCCTACCGTACGGCACACGGCAGCAGACTTCAGTTGTACGCAGTCTAGACGTTTGGCGATGGCGGTGCCTGAGGAAAGGTCCAAAATGTTGTCGTTCTGAGATCGCCTTGTTTTGCAGGTAAGCAGGTGCAAGACTATGCGTTTTACAGCCACAGCCGTTCTGCTCTTGGAGTATAAAGCTCTTTCGCGCGCACCCCCTCCTGCGCAGGCGGCCAGGGCGGAGAAAAGTACGAGTCGTCGTGGAGGCGGGGGGCGAGAGCCATGGCTTACCTCAAGGAGGTGAGACTCGGCTGTGCACGTGGCTGTTCGGATAACGTATGTATCTGGCACACCATTAGTGGGCCCTCAACAACGCCGGTTGAACAACGCCGGCGGCCCTGGTTAGCGCCGTAACAGTGCTGGGCACACACTGAATCGCAAGTCACTCTGTGAAGCACCGGTGCCCCTGAAGAGCGCCGGTCGATCGGCCGGGCGGGCACGTACATACCAGCGTTGTTGAGGACCCCGTGCTGTATTCCCAGCTAGCCCATGTCGCAGCAATCCTTCGCTAGATGCGTGCATATCTACACCGCCTGTGTTCTGCGGTGAGATGCCAGCTACCAACTGGAGCGTTTGAGCAGATACCACCGCAACACCACAACCGAGCCCCTGTACCACCACCAACGCCAAAGGAAGGGAAGGCGCAACAACAGCAACAACAATGTCAGCAACAAGAGCAACAATGGCAGCAGCAGCAGCAGCAGCAGCAGCAACAACAACAACAACAACAACAACAACAACAACAACAACAACAACAACAACAACAACAACAACAACAACAACAACAACAACAACAACAACAACAAGAGTAACACTGACAACAAAACCAATACCACCACCACCAACACCATCATCAACAACAACAATTCCTCCTGTGTAGAAAGTAGAAGATAAAAAATGGTGCCACAAGCGCGGGGTATTGAATGCGTAGAGTGCAATCGGTGTTTTTTTTCCAGCTCCGCAACTGCTGTACAACGCATGTTTGTCGCTGTACAAAAGCTTGTTCGCCCGATCAGGGTGTCAATGACCTGTGAAGACGCCAGACCGGTTGCGTGACCGCCGGAAAAAAAAAAAAAAAACACAAGTATCTGTCGGCATTCTCCCTCGATTTTGCCCAGCTTCAGGGGGCTACGAAAGGCGAACCGTGCACCCCCCCCACCTCCGCCGTGGTCCCTTCTGCTGCTCATGCTGCTGCTGCTGCTGCTGCTGCTGTTTCCACGCATGGCTCACTCGCCCCCCCCCTCCACCGTGCTCAATGCTGCTATGACTGCTATTGCTGCTCTTGTTATTTTCGTGAATGGTTCTCTTGCCCCCCCCCCCCGCCGTGAACGCTGCTGCTGTTGCTATTGCCGTGCACGGCTCGCTCGCTCGGTCGCCCCAGGCGTTCGCCGAGCTGTGGAGGCAGGACGGCCTCGTGGTGATGGCGAGGGGCCTGGGGGTCCGGCGGCTTATGGCCAAGTTTCTCTTGCTGCACTGCATGCACGGGGACGTGGCCAGACCGTCCCGTTCGTCGGAGGAAGCGGAAGAGGATACCGGCGACGAGCAGGAGGTGTAAGAGCAACCGCTTGAATGCAAAAAGTGTTCAGTGCAGCATGTAACGGCTTTTTTGGGCCGCCGGTCTTTGTTGCCGTTTCGTATTTGTTTTGGTGCCGCGTGAGTGCGTTGTTGCGCGCAAGGGGACGTTGCCAGACCGTCACCCCTCTCAGAGCAAAGGAAAGAAGAGACTGGGGAGGAACATAAGGTAGTGTAGACACAAGCTATGGATGCACCAGCAGTTTCTTCTGCCGTATGTAATGTTGGGGGGGGGCTCGTGAGCGCGTTTGGGGGGAGGGGGGCAAGGGAACCTTGGCCAGACCGTACCCCACTCTTGCCAGAGTTTGTGGTATGGAGTTTTCCGTCTTACCTTGGTTTCTTTCCTAGCTATCTGTTGTGTGATTACCCCTACGCAATATTGGTTTTGTGTTCCTAGCCTGTAGTTCGGGGTTTGCTGCTTTCATCTGACGGTTGTTGGCTGGTCTTTTTCTCCCAGGGTGAGGGCGAGAGTCAAGATCGTTCTCAGGGAGAAGAAGGAGAACGCCAGGATGGAGGTGCTTCAAATGATCTCGGCGACAACAACAACAATAATAACGACAATAGCGGTGCCAGAAAGAAGATACATCGCGATAAAGAACAAGTACAAGAAAGGGAGAAAGAGGAACAGGAACAGGCCGAACACCCTTCACCACCATTCCGAGCAGGCAAAGGTGTCGATCGCCAAAAGAACGCCCCTTTAAACGGCGGGAGCGGGAGTTCTTCGGAAACAGGGGTTTCCAAGGTAGGGGGGGCGGGTTCTTCCGGACCGGCAGGAGTTAGGCCGCTTGTTCTGTGTCTGAACGTCAAGGGGGAGGAGGAGCTTTTCTTGGATGCGCTTATGGCGGACGGGGTTCCCCCGAACCGTTTACCCGAGGTGGGTTGTGAATGGTCTAGAATTGTTCCGGTATGGTAATTGTTCCTCGGTGAGTTGTATGCGTAATCCCCGTGTGTTGCGATTGGTCTAGAAACGTTCCGATGGACTTAGCAGTTATTTCTCCGAGAAGTTTTAACCGTAACTGCCTTGCGATCAGATTGGTTAGAATTGTTCCGATCTGCTTGTTACCCATAGGTTGCATGAAATACCACAACCCCCTGAACCGGGTTCCAAAGCTCGGTTACTCCAAAGCAGCATGAGTAAGTGGCGGTGCCGGAACGGTGGCATTGGAACTCTCTCGTTCGAGAGCTTTGCGAAAGGGTATCATTTGATTCCGGCATCCTGTTCGTCGTGGAACAATAGAGGCTTGAAATTCGGTCCGGGGAGTTGTGGTAGCTTTTGCAACCTACGGTGCGCGTACCATAGCCGCCGAACTCTTGCGTGGACCCTGTCTCATAGGCACAACAATGTCAACGCACCGAGGGAACGTACAGATGCACCGCAGGAAGAAACGTGGGGCGTCAGAACCAGATAGAGAATCCATACGAGCAGCATCTCCTGCGTAAACCTTCCCCTTGCTGGGTGACCCCGCCTGTTGCCTCAACACAAACTAACCCAAAGTTGTGTATTCCTGGCGTCAGAATAGATGGGACTAACACACATAGCACAACGCGCGGATTCAAGTTCCTTACCGCTCCGCACTCTTTGCGGTGACTAATACGACGCACCAGAAATTACCACGGTATCTTTGGAGTACCGAGGCCTCAACAACGCTGGTTGAATAGTGCCGGTGGCCTTGTATTGCGCCGGTGAAGTTGCTGGGCGCAGGCTGAATCACCAGGTCATGCTGTACATTGAAAAGCATCGGTACCTTTGAACAGCGCCGGTCGATCCGCTGGGCAAATACCGGCGTTGTTGAGGACCCACGACTGTAGTACGAACGACAATTGTGCATGATGCCACCAAAACCGATGGAGAGTTCCTCGTGAAGAATTCTCCGGGATCCGGAAAATCCGGACGAAGACGTTGTAGGCCGGGCCAGCACGCACCCGCCTGAGACGATACATTCAAGGAAGCGGAAATCTTCGTAGATCCCGTCCATGCGGGATCTCCATGGAACACATGGGGACAGCAGTAGACTAGTGGTGGCTACCGTTTAAGCGAGGCTTGGAAGCTGGTATTTCTTTTTGGAGTCCGGTCTTCTCTTGTACTGGTTTAAGGGGGAATCGTTAAGGCCGTGTGACAGCGTATGCTTTGCCTAATGCTGTGCCTCGCCTTTAGAACCTCGTAGAAGCTCTCGTGCCTGTTGGGGAACGGTATGTAGAATTGACTGTACCAATAAGGTTAACGCCGTTTCAGAGCGGATGCCTTGCCTACACTGGTTGCCCGTCAATTCTTCCCGTGTCTGTTGAACAGGTAGCTTGTAACGTAGCCAGTTGCGTTAAGGCCGCTTAAGAGCGGATGCCTTGCCTGCATTGCCTTGCCCTTCACTCTTTTCGTGCGCGTTGTGCAGGTAGTGGACGCGGAGTGCACGCCTGCCCAGCGCGGGGTTCTGTACGCGTCAGGAGGCGTGTATATCGTCACATCGCGGGTGCTCATCGTCGACCTACTGACCAAGGTGATTTTGTTGGATGGAAACCTCGATGTCACGCGGGGCAAATGATTCTCGCCACAGCACCTACCACCCGCCCCCGTCCCCCTCCCCGCGTGATCACCGTGCCCTTCGCGCACTCCTCCCCCATGTATCAACTACGGTGTCCCTCTTGATGCTCTTTCTACCGCTGTTATCACGGTTCATATTCTGCTGCGTGTCGCGTTTAGTCCAGGAGCATTCCCTTGTCAACGTGAGCCTCCGATTAGCAGGGTCTTTTCGTGCTCTCCCCGCTAGTCTAGCCGCCCTCCCCCCCTTTACGGTCGGCCTCGGGTTCGCGTCCAAACCCAACGCTGTGTCTTGTGCCGCCGACCATCAGACAGTGAAGCCCGAGCAAATATCGGGCATACTGGTTCCCAACGCCCACCGCGTGGTCGAGACGTCGAGCGAGGCATTCATCCTCAGGTGGGGCAGAGCATGTTTCAGAGGTTTATTGATTATTATTTTTTTTTTCGTTCGAACGAACGAACGACCTTCACGAACACCATTTTTTCTACACCGGAGGAAAAATCGCTGTTTCTTTTGAAGGTGTGCAATCCAAAGAAAGCCAAGACATGCCTTTGTACGCCCGAGGAAAAATCCTCCGTTTGTAGGGAATACATGCCGTGGTACAGTCGCACGCCCTCTACAAGGCGAGTTATATAAGGCGGGTGCCCGCTATAGTGCGGGTGAAATCGGCTGGCACAGATGGAATAATTGAATTGTTCTACACATTGAATAAGGCGGGTGCCCTGTATACTGTAGGGCGGGTGAATCCGTCTGGCGCATACCCGCCTTATAGAGGACCTACGACTGTCAAATCACATAGAGACTACCCGTTCGAGATAAGGTACCGCAGCAGCTTAAGGGGGCGTGGTGATGTTTGGTGATTGTCTCCTTGTACGGTATCCCGTGACCCCAAACATTTTTCGATGTTTCATACTCGCTCGTTCTTTGGTTGAAGCGTTGATTGTGCGTTGCAACTCGGCAACCGACCCACCATCGTGCGCCTGGGTCATTCTTGGTTGGAATAGTTTGCGTTTAAGCACTCGTCGAACCATCTTCGTCTTTTTTTCGGGGTGCGGTACGAAAAGCCGAAACCGTCCTCTCACCCCTCTCCCACCATTACGCCCGAGACGCCCCTATCTAGTTCGCCCTCGTCGTGGTCCAACGAAGAAATTATCGTTGGAGGAACGGGAGCTCCTGCCCCCTCCCACACGGGCACTTTACACTCCACACGCCCTCCTCTGATTCGTCTTCTTTGTTGTCGAACAAGGGATAGATCGGGAGGGGAACGAGCTCCTGCCCCCCCCCCCCCCCCCCCCCCCCCCCCCCCCCCCCCCCCCCCCCCC